TATCTCCTGTTTTCCCCGCAGGAGATGGAAACTGCAGCTGCTGAACTTACAGAAGAAAGTTCATCAGGAGTTCTGGACCGTGTGGTCTGGAACCAGAACCGACGTGTGCTCACTGTGGGAGCCTGAGGCCGCCCAGCCCATGAGGAAGAGAGGGAAAGAGGACAGTTCAAGGGCGGGGCCAAATCCACCCTTGGCCCCCGTGCAGGTGTTCGTAGACCTTTGCCTCAAGGAAGGAATCCCTGACGAGTCCCTCAGCTACCTCATTAGGAAAGTCACCAAGAGGAGAGGCTTGCTGCACCTGTGCTGTAAGAAGCTGAAGATTTTTGCGGTGTCGAAGCAGAACATGAACATCCTCAACATGGTGCAGCTCGACTCCGTCCAGGATTTGGAACTAAATTGCACCTGGAAGCTGTCTACTCTGAAGAAGTTCGCGCCGTACCTGGGCCAGATGGGCAACCTGCGCCGGTTCCTCCTCTCCCACATCCTTACGTCTTCTCGCACCACCATGGAGCAGGAGGAGCTGTGCGTTGGCCAGGTCACCTCTCAGTTCCTCGGCCTGCCCTGCCTCCAGGAGCTCTGTTTGGACTCTGTCTCCTTCCTCAAGGGCCGCCTGGACCAGATCCTCAGGTGAGGGGTGGCGAGCTTCCTCTGCAGACCAGAGCGAGCCCCGTCATCTCAGTCCACAGTGATGGGCTCTCCTACGTGCCGCCATCAGCAGTGCCGGAGTGCCTGCGTCACTCGTCGGTCCACACAGCCAGTGTCACGTTCACTGCTCTGTCCCCTTGCACGTGGTCACCTAACCCCCCAGACAAAGGTTGGAGGCATGAACTAGGACAGATGGTAGTAAAGAGACCCCTTGCTAGGAATCGAGGTAATGGACTTGAGGCCGGGTGAGGTAGCTTGGGGAATTCTTGCCTTAGGAAGTGATGTCTAGGTGAAGATGATGGAAAAGAACCCAGTGAGGATGGCAGTGACGGAGGGAAAGCCCATCAGAGGTGAGGTTTCAGTGCTAAGCTCTGCACTCAGCAATTTGTCGATAGGAGCCTTTCACTCCAAACCTGCTTCGAATTGCCTGTCTGCCAAGAGTTGCCTTAGGCTCCAGCTAAGGGAATACGTGGGAAATGCAGGATTCTGGAGTAAGGAATTACCAGAAGGGATAGATGGTTTGTGGATGATGCAGTGATCTAAGTTCCTGCAGGCTGGCATCCCCCACTGGTGTTGGCAGACCTTGCCCAGGTTAGTCCTTTCTGCACGTCTGCCAGTAGCCTCACTGGGCTCAGAGATAAGGGTGATGGGGGTCCAAGCTGTGGCTGGAAGGAAGCCAGAGTTGAAGGCATTTAGGATCATGTCTCCCAATACTAACACTTACTGGTTCCCTCCTGCTTGAGGCATTGGGTCAGGTTCCTTTCTGAGCACCTCCCATCTTTTCATTCATCCTCACAAATTTGGCGGGGGGCAGGGAGGGGTCAGAGGGTTATGATGCACTCTACTTGGCAGATGAGCAGAGGGTATGTGTGAGGTTTCATTCACTTGATTCAGTCACACGGCAAATTAGTGATGGAGAAAGGATTCGACTCAAATTTGCACTGACTTGAATGACTCTTTACACCACGCAGCATCCTGGGGTTGATCATCATCTGGAAAACTTTAGGTTTTGGGGAGATGGGCCTCTTTTCCCTTAAGGCCGTTGTCATCCTCACCTCCCTCTGTCCACCAGCTCCATCCCTCAGAACTAACTGCTCTGTGTCTTCCCAGGTCCCTGAAGAGCCCCTTGAAGACCCTGTCCATTACTAACTGCCTGTTTTTAGAAAGAGACTTGAGACATCTGTCCCGGCACCTGAACGTCAGTCAGCTGAAAGGCCTGAGTTTCAGCGGCCTCAACCTGACCAATATCACTTCGGGGCCACTCCAACTTCTGATAGAGAAAGCCTCGCCCACCCTCCAGAACCTGGACTTGGATGAGTGTGGGATCATGGACCCCCAGTTCCTGGACATCCTGCCTGCCCTGAGCCACTGCTCCCAGCTCATGACCTTAAGCTTCTGTGAAAACCCCATCTCCATGACGGTCCTGGAGGACCTGCTACGCCACACCGTCGGGCTGAGCAAGCTGACCCGCGTGCTGTATGCTGCCCCCCTGGAGAGTTACGAGGAGACCAGTGGCACCCTCCACCTGGGCAAGCTTGCCCAGGTGCATGCTGTGCTGAAGCAAATGCTGCAGAAGCTGGGGCGGCCTGACATGGTCTGGCTCTGTGCTAGCCCCTGTCCTCGCTGTGGCGATAGAACCTTCTATGACCCAAATCCCATTCTGTGTCCCTGTTACGTGTCTATTTAGCTGAGTGCACATATCATAGGCTTTATTCTGGGCACTTGGACATTGAAGCCCAGACATAAGTGTATCTTAAAGGAACACAGCAGCCACAGTTTGACAACTACTCAGTGTTGGGGGGAAATGTTGACATGGGGAGTTAATGGTTTCTTTGGGGAGATGTGTTAGAAATACGAATCTGTATCTCTAGTGGGGAGGGATTCAGATTTGGGAAGTAAATGTGGGAGTTACCTTTGTTTGAATGGTTGTGAAGAAATGTCAGTAATAAAGGGAACCTCAATGTTAACCGTCTGGTGTCCTCTATGACATGTTAACCCGATTCTCCCATCTGCAGTTACTGGTCAAATGAGCATCCATGATGCCCAGACTCTAGGCTGGATGAGGTTGGGTCCCAGGAGTCCACATCACCCTTTATCATTTCCTGGTCGGTTATTTTCTCTGTTGCATCCGGTGTCTTCTCACTACCTCTGCCTATTCAGTCAGCGCACACAAGGTGCGTCCACAGGGTCTGGAACATACTAAGTGGCCTGTAGTGAGATCCACTGAAGTACAAGTTCTCGGGGGCCCTCACTACCCAGGCCCTACTCCCCACTGAGAGCCAGAGATCCACTGAAGTACAAGTTCTCGGGGGCCCTCACTGCCCAGGCCCTACTCCCCACTAAGAGCCAGTGGGGCGTGCAGGAGGCAGCCGATAGATGATCCTCATCATTGATGTTTCTCTCTCTTCCTCACTCTAAAAATCCTTTTAAAAAGGTGAAGCCCATTCGTAGCGTGCTGTGAGTTGTACAAAACCAGGTTGCAGGCGAGACTGGCTTGGCCGCAGATGCAACGAGAGGAGGACCGGCGGCCAGAGCAGCGGGACGGCCAAGCGCCTTAAGCAGAGGGCAGGCCGCGGCGCCTCGTGGGCAGAGGGCACTTGAGGACCAGGAGATGGGGGCCAGGGGCTAGGAGATGGGGGCTAAGGGCAGCCTGTTCTCCGGCCCGAACCCTGGTCCTCGGGGCAACCTTGGCCGCCGAGACCCTGCCAGG